CCTCAGGCCATGCCATGCCTAGCTTTTCTCGGTCACGACGGTCCGAACATGGAAGAATTGGGAACAATCCACTCTCCAATCTAAGTCGGACAGATCGAGTGAGCACCAGACAGCCTCCCACGCGACCGTCGTACCCAGTAACCGTCCGTACCGTGTGTCTTGTGCCTCATGTACCTACCTGTGTACCTTAGCTTGCCTTACCCTAGCTTCCTATGTATGCTGTGCTTTGCCATGCATACGTATAAAGATGCCACTGGATCCCTAACTTGCGCAGTTAGTCTTGTGGTGTAGTAGTAGGCAGATTGTTCGTGATTTCGGGCCCTCATCTCTAGACTTCGCTGCCTCTTGCTTGCCTCTCCTTTCACAAGTGGAGATAGACATTAAGGTATCCCAGATCCATCTCACTCATCTCACCCCCTCTTGTTCGACGATTCCGCCCTCACACTTCAGGTCATAAGTCAAAAGAAAAAGCATACTAATGCAGTGTCGTGAGCAGGTGGTCTACGCTGAAGTCCTAATACACAATAATACACCCGGACCTCTTGTCTGGTTGCTCCTATAAGATGTCTCTGCCAAAAGACTTCCTCTGGGGCTTCGCCACAGCCTCGTAAGTCAACTGGTGCTGCGAGCACGAGTGTTTTGCTATGATCAATGCACTGACCGGAGCGTTTAGTTACCAGATTGAGGGTGCTGCCGATAAGGACGGCCGTGGTCCGTCCATCTGGGACAAATTCTGCGCTATTCCCGGCAAAATTGCAGATGGCAGCTCTGGTGCGGTTGCTTGCGATTCCTACAACAGGACCAAGGAAGACATTGATCTGCTCAAGTCTCTCGGTGCCACCGCCTACCGATTTTCTCTGTCCTGGTCCAGAGTCATTCCTCTAGGTGGTCGCAATGACCCTGTCAACCAGAAGGGACTTGATCACTATGTCAAGTTTGTCGATGACCTGCTCGACGCCGGCATCACTCCCTTCATTACCCTCTACCACTGGGATCTTCCCGAAGAGCTGGACAAGCGCTATGGCGGCCTTCTGAACCGGACAGAGTTTCCCCTAGACTTTGAGAACTATGCTCGTGTGGTCTTCAAAGCCATCCCCAAGTGCAAACACTGGATCACCTTCAACGAGCCGTGGTGCTCCTCCATCCTCGGCTACAACACCGGTTACTTCGCCCCTGGCCATACATCCGATCGCACAAAGTCCGATGTTGGAGACTCTTCCCGCGAGCCGTGGATTGCTGGTCACAACCTGATCGTTGCCCACGGCAGAGCTGTTAAGGCTTACCGTGACGACTTCAAGCCCACTCAGGGGGGTGAGATTGGTATCACCCTGAACGGTGACGCCGTCTACCCCTGGGACCCCGAGGACCCTGAGGACGTCGAGGCCTGTGACCGCAAGATCGAGTTCGCCATCTCGTGGTTCGCGGACCCGATCTACTTCGGCAAATACCCAGACTCGATGCTCAAGCAGCTTGGCGACAGGCTGCCGACCTTCACGCCTGAGGAGGTGGCGCTCGTCAAAGGCTCCAACGACTTCTACGGCATGAACCACTACACGGCCAACTACATCAAGCACAAGACGACGCCGCCGCCCGAGGACGACTTCCTGGGCAACCTGGAGACGCTCTTCTACTCCAAGAAGGGCGAGTGCATCGGCCCGGAGACGCAGTCCTTCTGGCTGCGCCCCAACGCCCAGGGCTTCCGCGACCTGCTCAACTGGCTGTCCAAGCGCTACGGCTACCCCAAGATCTACGTCACCGAGAACGGCACCTCGCTCAAGGGCGAGAACGACATGAAGCTCGAGCAGATCGTCGAGGACGACTTCCGCGTCAAGTACTTTGACGACTACGTCAAGGCCATGGCCAAGGCCAGCTCCGAGGACGGCGTCAACGTCAAGGGCTACCTCGCGTGGTCGCTCATGGACAACTTCGAGTGGGCT